TTTCCTTCTCCATACTCTTCTCTTCCCATCACTCTGGTACAAGTTGATCTTGGTCTCATCTGTCCATAGGATGTTGTTCCAGAACTGTGAGGGCTTTTTTAGATGTCGTTCGGCAAACTCTAATCTGGCCTTCCTGTTTTTGAGGCTCAGCAATGGTTTACATCTTGTGGTGAACCCTCTGTATTCACTCTGGTGAAGTCTTCTTTTGATTGTTGACTTTGACACACATACACCTACCTCCTGGAGAGTGTTCTTCATCTGGCCAGCTGTTGTGAAGGGTGTTTTCTTCACCAGGGAACGAATTCTTCGGACATCCACCACAGTTGTTTTCCGTTGTCTCTGGGGTCTTTTGGTGTTGCTGAGCTCACCGGTGTGTGGGAACGAATTCTTCGGACATCCACCACAGTTGTTTTCCGTTGTCTCTGGGGTCTTTTGGTGTTGCTGAGCTCACCGGTGTGTGGGAACGAATTCTTCGGACATCCACCACAGTTGTTTTCCGTTGTCTCTGGGGTCTTTTGGTGTTGCTGAGCTCACCGGTGTGTGGGAACGAATTCTTCGGACATCCACCACAGTTGTTTTCCGTTGTCTCTGGGGTCTTTTGGTGTTGCTGAGCTCACCGGTGTGTGGGAACGAATTCTTCGGACATCCACCACAGTTGTTTTCCGTTGTCTCTGGGGTCTTTTGGTGTTGCTGAGCTCACCGGTGTGTGGGAACGAATTCTTCGGACATCCACCACAGTTGTTTTCCGTTGTCTCTGGGGTCTTTTGGTGTTGCTGAGCTCACCGGTGTGTGGGAACGAATTCTTCGGACATCCACCACAGTTGTTTTCCGTTGTCTCTGGGGTCTTTTGGTGTTGCTGAGCTCACCGGTGTGTGGGAACGAATTCTTCGGACATCCACCACAGTTGTTTTCCGTTGTCTCTGGGGTCTTTTGGTGTTGCTGAGCTCACCGGTGTGTGGTGGTGTATAGAGCCAAAGATGCTAGAATTGTGTCGATGTCCCAATATTTCTGGACCTGACTGTATACACTCCCAACTAAACTTCAACCTGGGCTGATAAATCAGGAACTTAGTACTTATTTTTATACCCCACCCCCCGAAAAAGGCAGAAAGTTAGTGCAAAGGGATAAGAAAAGGATAGCTGGAGCATGCTGTCTCAGACTTCAGAAGGGAACTCCAAAAAATTCCCATTGTTCCAAAGATTTCCTTGCAGTCTTCATGTATGATTTTTCTGCATTATACTCTCAAGAGTCTGCTTTATCTAGTCGAATATACTAATTTGTTGGCATTGCCACTGTTGAGAAGGCCAAAGTGTATTCCAGAAAATGTATGAATCAGTAGTTTTTAGGAGCCTGATTTTAAAATCTTTATTGAAATTCATTTGGCTTTGGAGAGGAGGGATATATTTTTAGAAGAAGAATGTGTGTACGTGCTGATGATTTTCCTATGAGTAACTTTCATGTTAAGCCTCCAACCTTGTATAATAATTTCCTCTTCTCATAACAGAAAGTATAGCTGGAATTTTTTCTTCTTTGCTGTAGGTTAAAGAATATCCCTAGATATAAGGGCTTGTTCGAAAACAATATGTCATGACACATTTTCTTTCTTACAGATGAAAAACGACGTTTATTGAGTCAGGTTGTACGTCCTCAAGAATCACGTTCACTTAGTCCTTCACATCTTTCGGAAGAGAAGCAGAGCCGGTGGAAAGACAGTGACAGAAAGCCAGAGCGAAAGGAGAGCATGAGACATTATGAGGAAAGTGATTACAAAGAACGGGGTTCTTCTGGGGACAAACAGCGAGAGCAGCGAGAGGGCAATGAGAGTTCAAGGAGCAGAATCCAAGATAATGTAAGTAATCGGGTTTCTGAAGAGCGTGAGGCTATAGATCATATGCTGGAAGACAAGAAGAAAGTTAAAATGCAGAAAAAAACAACAAAGAAAAAGAAAGATGATGATGGTGGGATAGAGCGCTATGTCAGTGAACCAGCAGCAGAGAAAACCCAAGTGTTTTCTCCCAAGAAAGGTCAGAAAAAGAAAAATGCTGAAAAGAAGCGCAAGAGATCCAAAGGAGATTCTGAGGCTTCTGAGGAAGACAGTGGCCCTCATCAGAAAAAGAAAAAAGGTCCCAGGACACCACCTGTAACCACAAGAGAAGAACTGGTGGAAGTGGTGCCCGAGAAATCTGCAGTAGTGGAAGTTGTTCCCAAGAGGGAGGACACAACGTTTAGTGACTGGTCAGATGAAGATGTTCCAGAGCGTGGAGAGACTGTTCTGGAAAGGAATTCTGAGGAGCCCCATAGAAATAGCCACCGTACACGAGGTGAAACCATGGAAGTTTCTCATGTGGTTGAAGAAACCCCTCATCTCCGACCTGCAGATCAGAAGCGTAGCAGCAGCCTCTGTAGCAACAGGAGCCATACTTCAAGTAGACTCCGATCACCCTCTAATGATTCTGCACACCGCAGTGGAGATGACCAGGCTGCAATGAAGAAGATCTTGCACAGCAGTTCCAGTGACAGAGACAGGAGATGCCTTGAAATTGCTGGAGAGCGGAAGTCCAGAATTGATCAGCTGAAACGTGGAGTTGCCAGCCGTAGCACCTCTTCTGGTAATTTCAGTTGCATTGCTTTGGTTGCTCCCATGCCATATCCCTGGCCTTTCCTGAGACTCTTTCAACCCTTGGAAGGCCCAGCGCTTGGGATGGGGGGTAGGACAGAGGCCCAAAGAGCTACTGTGAGAAGGGACTTGCGGCCATTCCTTTGTGCAGTTGTACAGTGGCTAACCATGTAAAATTGCTTTAAAAAGGGATAGTAATAAATTGTTCAGAGATAATGTCATTCAAACAGGGATGGGCAACCTTCAACCTGCCTTTCCTTCTTCAGACCCAACAGTTAGGCTTTTTAGAAGTTCATTTGATATTGGTAGCATTTAAAAAAAAAAACCTACAATCAGTAGCTCTAATGGAGTTATTTTAAATGAGGGAATTGGAAAAGAAAGAAGTCAATTTGTCCTGTGTACTTCGCTTCCTTGCCCCCCTTGCATGTCATCATTGGGCTCTTAAAAAACTATACTTGGGGCCACTTGAAACTTTTTCCAAAATCTTATTTTGGGTATGAGTATGACTCAGATGAGAGGAAAAATGAAAAAGAATGAAAGTGTTTGTGGAATGGATGTGTTTGTGAGGGAGGGAGGTGAAACAGGAAGAGGGATCTTGGCATTAGGACTGTTGGCTTCAGCTCTGCCTGCCGGTGGTATGGTGTCCCTGGCCGATTGCCTGCAAGATAGGGGGTAGAAATTTCCCATTAGAAGTTATAAGGAAAATTGGGAAAAGCAAAGGGCTTGTTACAGAGCAGTAAACCATGGTTTATTAACCTGAGGTTGTGCAATCTAATATAGAATTTATTGTCCTGCCAAACCTTGCTTTGAAGTTCGATTTTTTTCTAAATGAAAGCCTAATAATCTGTTTTGCTGGAACTGATTGTGTGTTCCAGATCGACAGGATTCAAGGAGCCATAGTTCAAGGCGAAGTTCTCCTGAATCTGATCGCCAAGGCCACTCCAGATCTGGGTCCTTTGACAGCAGAGAAAGAGTGCAGGACAGAGACCGGCATGAGCACGATCGTGAACGGGAGAGAGATCGGCGAGATGGGAGGCAAAGAGATTGGGACCGAGATGCAGCTAAATCTGACTGGTTGAGAAGCAGAGACCGGGAAAGAATTCGGGAACGAGACAGGCAACGGGAAAAACGAAGGGATCTGGACCGTGAAAAAGAGCGCCCGCTTCCTGAAAATCTGGAAAGAGATAGAGGTGTTAGCACTTCCTCTCAAGCAGAAATATCCAAGCACAGTGAAACAAAAGCAAGTAAAGATCATCAGGCTTTTGAGGCCACCTCTCTGGACTCTTCCTCCCAGGAGAAGGAAAGGCAGGATAAAGACCTAGGCCCTTTGCAAGGATTTGAAGATGGAATTGAAGCCGAGAAAGTGGAAAATGTAGAAGGTAAGTCATTCTGACAATACAGTGCTGGCAGTTTTTCTGCTTTTAAACAACCTAAATGTTACTGGTATCATTTAGTAGATCTCCTTATTTGAATGTTCTGGATGTCAGGCTTCCTCATATAGTTTTTGAGCAGTATAGTTACCAGTAGACTCCAAATGAAGTAGGTTCTCTAGCAGAGCATAGTTAACTCTTTACTTCCACAACTTTTCCCAGTATGAATTAATATTGTTGCCCTCTGTGAAAACTCTGATGATGGTGGGAGAGAGACAGGAAGAATAGAGACAGAAACAGGTCATGCACTTACCCACCTCCTTTCTACCCTTCTCCAACTAATTGCAGTTTTGATGGGATGATATGCTGCACAGCAAGGACATAAATGGAAAAGATTAAACATAGAGTGCAGTTTCCCTGATCTGGCTCCAGACACAAAGTACAAACCTAATTATGTCTTCTGCATCATCTCATTTGGCATGCCATTCCTGTTGGATCTGTAGAGTTTGAAAGACTAAGTGCATGTTGCAACTTTTGGTTCTTTTTGTAGGTGGAGATGATGAAACAAAAATAGATGATATGCAGTCAATGGAATCTGGTGCAGGAGAATATGAGCCAATCAGCGATGATGAATTGGATGAAATTTTGGCAGGTGATGCTGAAAAAAGAGAGGATCAGCAAGATGACGAGAAGATGCCAGGTAAGCATAGCAGAATTGTTTCTGTCAGTCGTATATGTACTAGAAAGTCAAATTTATCTTCCAAAATTACAGTTTCTGACTTAAAATACTGAAGCCTGCATAACCTAGGCACAAAGAAAACAAATGGTCTCGGTTTGATAATGTTATGTTGTTCCACTTCAGCTGGTCATGAGAAAGGGGAATTTGCTTTCTAGTGCAAATCATTCCCAGTTCATTCCAAGAGCAGAATAAATATCAGATCAGTTTGGTATCTATTTGGTAGGTAGAAATGACAGTTTTTTAGTTTGGATATCATAGTGGGAAACTATGGCGTGGTTTAAGAAGTATCAGCACCATAGCCAAGTACATATGGGGCGGGCCAAAAATTGTGCATAAGTACAACTCTTCTTCCAGATTCACCAGTTTTGCTTGGATTAGGCTGTGACACCTGAACCCGCCCATCTTGCACTTTTAGAGTAACGTTTTAAAAATGAAGACTGGTCTGGTGCAGGGATTCAGCCTCTGGGGGTTGTCCATTCTCCTCGAGAGATGGCAGTCTTTTCTTAATTGAAGAAGGCTGACTGGTGTGGGCTAAGGAGCACCTCTCATTTTCTCCCTAAGACCACTTTCCTTTTGCCTCTGCAGTGGTTGGAAGCAGGGGGGTTGTTTGCTGGATCTACCCCAGAAGGCAGATTTGAAAGAAGACAAAGACAGTGGTAGCCTAAACAGGGAAAAGCGAGTTTCTGTCTCAAGCCATCTCAGAGCAGGTCTCATCCCACTTGGCTTTCCTTTGAGGGGGCAGTGATTGCCTCAGAGTGAGATTTACAACTGATTTTCCCTGCCTGCAGCCAGGAAACAGTTGCAACCACCTCTCTGCCAGCCTAATGGGTACCTTGGTGTCTTAAAGAGTAAATATTTGCATTTGTCTTATTCTGCATTTTCTATCTCTTCTCCTCTTAGCTTTCACGGTACTCATTTGCTTGAGTTATTGTACATGCAAGAAATATCTTCAGAGTTTATTTTTTGTATGCATTTGCAGATCCGGTGGATGTCATCGACGTAGATTGGTCCAGCCTGATGCCAAAGCAGCCAAAAGAGCCCCGAGAGCCTGGAGCTGCTCTTTTAAAATTTACTCCAGCTGCTGTTATGTTGAGAGTTGGCATTTCCAAACAACTGGCTGGCCCTCCACTCTTCACAAAAATCAAAGAAACTTGTCAGAGAACTTTGGAGAAGCCTAAAGGTAATTAGTTTATCCCCAGCAGATCATGGAGAGGAATTAGAAAACTATAAAGGTTCATATTAATTTTTGGTTTTGAGCACATACCACTCTGAAAAGGCTACCTCTAACTGTGCAAAGCCTGTTTATAGATCTGATAGCAACATGCTCACCAGGATGATGCATCCTGGTTTGTAAAGATCTTACTGAGTTGATCTGCTGAAACAATTTTGCTGTGTCTCTGTATGAATAATATCTCCCTTTCTCCATACTGGAGGCAGTCAAGCCATCTATGCCTCTTCCTGCACTGAGAAGGGAGGTGCCCTGAGGGTGGGGTTGGGCTAGACTCAGGAACTGGACATTGGGAGAGGAAGTGGTGGCTTTGCATGATTCTGTAAAGTGCTTTGTTGATATGGGAGATCTGAATCACCATTTTAGAAGACTTTGGATCTTCTTATTACTATACTGCCTCTTTGTAGATGCAGAGAACCTTTTTGAGCATGAATTTGGGGCCCTGAATATGGCTGCCCTACTGCGAAAGGAAGAGCGAGCTGGACTGCTGTGCAACCTGGGTCCTTGCTGTAAAGCTCTTTGCTTTAGGAGGGATTCTGCAATCCGCAAGCAGCTTGTGAAAAATGAAAAGGCAAGTACCTGAAATATATTTTAACACTCAGTAATCTTTAATGTGGAAATCAACGTCTGTATAGTCATCCAGTTACAGAACCACGACATATTTTGCTCATTTATTTTTAATGCCTCCCCCCCCCCCCCCGCTTTCTGAAAGCAAAATGAAGTTAATGAATGAATGGAAGCTAGAGACTTCTAAACATGGGATTATCACTTTGTTGAGTAGCCATTGTTCCATTGAAATAATATTCACAGTCTTTCTGTGAAATCCATGATGTTCAGAGGTGCTTTTAAATATTCTAAATACTCTAGCAAGCATAATCTTCCTCAAAATGTTGTCCCAGAATAGCCAAGTGCTCAGGGCTCTGAAATGGCTGGAGAACCTGTCTGGGGAAATACGCCCCCTCAAGCTGGTGATGCAGCCCTCAAAAACCTATGCCTCATCTGCTGATGAAAATTAGCAGTTCTGCTCTATGTCAGAACCAGTACTATTGGCTGCTAAATTTTGGTTGCAAGCTATGTATGGCTGAACTATAACGATCCTGCCACTGTAGAATATTTTCTTTATGTTGTTTGTTTGTTTGTATCCTGCCCTTCTGCCTATAGGGCACTACAGTCGACAGGCCTATAGTTTATTTACTTATTTCATTTGCATCGTCCTGAGTGACATATGTGGACCCAACCCACATGTTATTTCTCACAAAAGCAGCCCCAGGAGACAGGTCGGACTGAGAGAAAGTGACTGGCCTTAAATCACTCAACAATTTCCATGGTCAAATGAGGACTTGAATCCCCAGTCTAGTAATAATCAGTAAAAATTCTTTTTCATTTACTAGGAAGCCTTTCCTAAATACTTTGTCAGAATATTTTTTGGAAACTAGATTTACATTTAATCTTATGAAAAAGGTACCTGATTTGGAGTTTCCTGCTTTGTCTTCTCACTTGTCGTAGCTATCTGCAGAAGGCTTGTGATTGTTTGTACAGCTTTTGGTGCTGTGCCTCCAATAATCTGAGTGGCGTATATATTTTTACAGGGTAATAGATGCTGCTTCCGAAACGCCAGCATCATGCATTAGAATATCTACGCCTGTCATGCAGCCATTACTAACATTCAGTCACATTCTATCCAACAGGGCACAACAAAACAAGCCTACACAAACCCTCCAGTGGTGGACAATGAGTTACTACGGCTGAGCCTACGCTTGTTTAGACGCAAGACTGTGCAGCAAGGGTCTGGACCAGATAAGGCAGAGGACACTAAACTTTCACAACCATATGTTCCAGAAATGTGCCTGTCCTGAGCCAGAACCTCCTGGCCACATGGTTGTGTTGTTTCGCGGTTTGATAATATTGATGTTTCGTCCTTATTCCCTTTAAATATGATGGTGCCGGAAGAATGAAAATACTCTTTTAAGCACTTGTGTGGATTCTGAGACAGAATGACAAGGAAAAGTATTTAGTACAAAACATAAAGACCATTTTGTCTGTTTCGCTGCATGTTTTACAACATTGAGTTCTAACCATGGATTTTATTTAATAACTCGCTTGTGTTTAAGAACGTAAAAATGCCCATTTTTGGATATCTGTTTTATCATCTCCTATTAAATTTTTAAGAAGAAAACAGTTCTGATTTTTTTTCAATTTCTTTTTTATCTTTTCCATAACATTTCCTCTGTAAGATTACTGGTCAGTAAGATGTATAAGCTGCTAATCTCCACCATCCAAAAATAATCATGAAAAATGCAATGCATGTTATCTACATGAAGTCTATTTTTTTTTAACTATGAAAATAAGATTTCTCAGATGCTAGAGGAAAGAGCGGGGTGATTATTTTTTTCCAATTCTTCCTCCATGGCAGATCTTCATTGGATCTCAGAAGGGCTACATCTGAAACTGACCCTCTGTGTTTAACTTAGTTTCTGGTTAACATGCTTATTTGAATATTGTTCCATTTGAAACATATCTAGACATCCTCACCAAATGTTCTTGAAATGTATTATGTCACAATCAAAAAATGCAGAAGCTGGTATTGTTGCATATATTCTTTTTGCTTATTTGGAAGTGCTGACTTAGTTATTTGGCTGCTTGTATTTACCTGATTGCAACTGCCTCTCCAACCACGGATGCTTTCTGTGATCAGCCAGTAAGAGGCACCCACGTTCCAAAAAGCATAGACCGGTTGGCAAGTTTAGCTGTGGGTGAGATGTTTCTTCAGTTTACATTTTAATTTGGCTTCATCCAAGACCATCCACAGAGCCATTTTAAAATAGCTTCAGAGTGTGAACTATTCTGAAAATGAGGAGATTCTGTTTGCTCATTTTATTTCTGCCTCTTCCTTTGTTTTCTTTCTCTAAATGCTCTATTCCATTATTGGTCCTTTTCTTTCAGTTTATCAGTGTTCTGTGCCGTTGGATGATTTGGGGGAGATTTTCCCCTTTGGGTTTTTTCCTTAAGATTTGTTCCACCATCTGCAGTATTGGATTATAATTATCTCTTGCACATAGGTGTTGTAGTTCAGGCTGTTCTTTAATGAGCACTGAAAGACTTGTATCGTAAAGAAGAGGAATGATGTAAATATTTTCATTGTCTATCATGGAAAAAAGATCCAGTTACAGGTGTGATCTCTTTGTGCTATTAAGAGAAATGTTGTGTGGTGGTTTTGTTTGTTGGTTCTTGTTAAAAATTGTTTAATGTTGCTGGCTGAAGCACTGATTGAGGAACTCAGCACCACATGGCTGCCAAATTATGAAGGAGGGGTATTTGATATTCCTCTTAAATTGGGGATCAGTACCACTATAAAGCCATCACTTTCGTACATATTTGATCCTCTACTTGCAGGTTCTGTGACGTTTTCATACAGTGCACTGTTAACTACACAAGGATGAAAGGCTGGGTTCATTCTTTCTAGAAAAAGGCTTAAAATCTGGCCATTTGCTTTTGAATGTAGTTACAGATAATACATAGAAATTAATGATTTCTAGTAGGGCTGTCAGAAATGTTCTAGAAGAAAGATTTTGAACCTTGCATAACGATAGCACCTCTGCTACTCATTAAAGCAGCCACATTTTTTAAGGCTTCCAGATTATCCCCCCCAATGCAGCTACCTTAAGAGTCCCAATTGACTCATTAAAGCAGCAACATCATTTTTCAGGTTTATGTGGGAAAAAGTGGCTGCTTTAACAGCAGCTGAGCAATGCTATGCTTGTGTGAGCTTGAAAGCCATTCTTCTGAATCAGGTTTGAACAGCCTTATTACCCATACTATTAATCAAATAAAAGGTAGATAACACAGAAAGTATGTTTTATTGAAATTAAAATAGTAACCAACATGAATTAAGTGGTCTGTGTATAATGCCATACTGTATAATGCTAAATGGAATTCCATGCTTTACATATTTTTAATAACATGTATAGCTATAGTTTTGATTCCAGTAAGCGCTTCGTAGCAAGTCGGCTTAATGAGATTCTGAGGAAGCAAGAATCCATATTTTCCTTTGTCTCGAAGCTCAAAAGTAAAAGAATACTTTATACCATGGTCGTAAGCCCAGTCATCTGAACCTCCGGGAGCTAAATCTATGAGAGAAGCCAGAAGTATTAATGATCCAAGCCCAGCCATCTTAACTTAGCAACGGCCTATTGATCTGCAGAGGTACTTTGTGCTCTTACTGTACTTACAGATGGCTTGTGCGCCAGCGCCTGTCACATAGCGGTTGTGGTATGAATTTCTAATAGCAAAAGCCACTTGGTTTGCCAGAGATTGCTGAAAAGAAGAGAACTGGTTAATTAAATCGTCATTGGGAATTTATGCTTAAGCCTGATTGCAAAAAGAGCTGTCCAAACAGACCTATCTCATTCTGGATGTTTAGGACTTGCCTTTTAAATTAAGCTTCCCAACAATGGCCCAGAAATTTTGCAATCCTCACAACATTGTAGTGAAATTAAAAGGCATACATTTTTATAGTGAATATTCTGAAAATATAAAAGCTAAGGCTGCAAGTAAACAGAAGAGTGTATCGGTCCTAGACCTAAGATGCTTGAGATTAAAATCCTGTCTGTGGCTTAACATGATGTAAAAACTAGACTATTGTGTGCCCATGGCTTTTTATTAATCTCCCTATTTCCAGTGATTGCCTTTAAACCCTACAAAACCCTTTGCTTTTGTATCCTTTTCACAAGTGCTACTGTGCTTGTTTACTTTGGTTCATGGTCTGAAACTCCTGTGTTATATTGTGGCTCAAATACTGTTTTCAGGGGAAGAAAAATCTAAAACATGAAAAGCAACACTGACTTTCTTTTAGCAACAATGGTATAAAATGTGACTGTAGAAATGAATTTAATTTCGTATCTAGTTGTGTGTGTCTGCTAGTGGAATAGATACTGCTGACGGACTAGCTTTTCTCTCCGCTCTGCAGCCTTCTATGGGTTTCCCAAAGCTGAGTCTCTGCAGCAGATTTATGGATCATGAGGTTGCAGGAGGAGAAGAGCAAAAGACCACCACTGTCATGCTGGGGGCAGCCCTTCATCTTATTGAATGCCGCCAACTGTGGAGAAAACATTCCTGGAAGCCTCTAAATCAGTGTTTCTTGAACCTGGCAACTTTAAGATGTATGGACTTCCAACTCCCAGAATTCCCCAGCCAGTGCTGGGGAATTCTGGGAGTTGGAAGT